ATATATACATATTTTTCTATATGTATTATATCTCTATCTCACTCTCTTTCTCTTTCTTCCTCTCTCTTCACAGAAAAAATGATCTGTTCGAGGGATCGCAGATGCCCCTCGCAAGGGTTGAAACAGAGCGTACATCGTTTGTTTGACATCATTATTCCCGTTGCACGCACCAGCTTGTCGGAGATTCCCTTGTAAAAATGGCTTTACTGGATTAACGGTAACGCCAGTACCACTCACGTGCCATTTACAGGGGGTATAAATCTCTTAATGCGTAAAAGTATGGGTAAAAAAGTAAAGTCTACTGCAAAGCAAGAGAAAGTGTATTAATATAATTAATTATATATTATATAACAAATTTAATGTCTTTATTAATGCCTCTCCGCTTTTTCCTTTTATATATACGTCGAAATTAATTAAATAACGCAGAAAATAGAGTTAAAATTGCGAAAAAACAATGTAAGTAAGATAGAAAAGTAATGTAACACCTTCACGATTTATATTACTGATATAAAATGCAAGAGAGAATCACGTGGGGAACTTCTTTTTTTGCGCCATAACCCTCATCTGCCTATTGTCGCAAATGAGATTCTTAATTTTGAAATTAATTCAGAGCAATTAACATTATCGGTAGGCTCAACTTAATTGCCGCAGTAACTTTTCGCTGCTAAAGCCATTCCATAAAACCGTACCTCTCCTTCTTTTGAACCCTCCCTGCTTCTAACCATGATTCTAACTGGATATACATATATCAAAAGCATATTTTTTTCCAAAATAATTTTAGATTATAGTGGAAAAAACGCTGTCATCTTTAGCATATTGTTTTTTATAATAAAAATATAATTTATTTTGTTAAATATAAAAAACATGTACATAATTTTAGTAATAATATATATCAAAATTATTATTTAGTGTATATTTTATTCGTTTGATTATAAAGTATAAATTTCTATTCATCACAAAAGCTTTCTCAAAGATTAAACATCAACTTTTGATTTTTCGGAATTCCTAAGTTAGGAATATCTATCATAGATAAACTCCGTCCAATAATTGACTTTATTAATAACTGACTTTGTCAATAGAAAAATTAATATTAAGTACATTGGTATCTTCCAGGAGGCGCGAGGAGACCTTAAAGGGGGTCCCGAAATTATGAGGAAAAACTGTTGGCGAATTAGTCGTAGACTCTGCGAGCTCGGCAGAACTTCGACAATAAGCCCGGTTTTAATTACCGCGACATCTGGGTGTCGCGTATAACCCTCCGAGCTCTACCAAGTCGTCATCCGGATTCTGACCATCGCGCAGAAGTTACAACTAGATAATTGTCGAGCAGTCAGGCACGTAGACGCTACCCTTCTTCGTAAATGCCCCAAAATATATTAACGGCGCAATGGTCCACATAATGAAATCCAACGATCGATTGACTAAATTAAGCGGACAGATTAAAATGGGTATTTTAATTGCTCCAAAATCCCAACGACATACTCTTTATAATATCAATATATTTAAAAAATAAGGATTTCCTCTACGATAAGAATCAATTTTAGCATTGAAAAAATGGAATATTAAGAAATAATTCAATTAGCAACAAATTATGATTAATAAATTTATCATAATACAGAAAAAATTATATAA